GTAGATCATGTGGGTGATCTGGGCTCTCCGGGTGACGCCGCGTCGAAGGCTGAGTTGCCGACGTTTCGACCATCCTGTCGTGGTCTTCCTCAGGGCTGGTATGCGAGATATGTGAGGGTATGCGGGTATGTGAGGAAGACCACGACAGGATGGTCGAAACGTCGGCAACTCAGCCTTCGACGCGGTGTCACCCGGACAGCCCAGATCACCCACATTACTCTGGTCGTGGAAGACTACGACTTCATGCACCTTTAAAGAATCAGTTCAATTTACAATTTGGGTTCAATTTACAGTTTCTGGGGTGAAAATGTCAACTAGTGGCAATTGTCTTACTTATTTTTCAACTTTATGAATTACTCGTGTCAGTAAAGGAATTAACAAACGGAGGTGTTAATAAATGAGCTCAACTATCTACCGAACGAAGAAACGGTTGCTCCGCAGTCGCCTTCGGATTAATTTCCAGGGCCTGAAAAGCCCCGCGCAACGCTCTTCCCCTGTTCCGCCCGCACCTCCTCGAGAGACGTTTTTTGACGCCCGGGCGCCGCCGGGGCCGGGCGGAGGCGAGCCGGGGGTCGGGTCGTCCACGCCAATCCGGCGGAGGGCCCATCTACGTCGGTGGGCATTTGTCTTCCGGTGACGCGAGCTTTAGATTAAGGCTAAGGCGCCGCTATTCAATACGTCGACCGGGACATCAGTCATGATTTATCCTTCGTTAGCGCGAGAAGCCGAACGGGCGGGTGGAGGATTTCGCCCGCACGTCGAAGGGGCGATACGCCTCCCAATCGATTTTCGGAGGCGGCGTTTCCTCGAGATCGTTTGTCTCATTACGACTTTTACGGCGAAATTAGTCGTCGTGAAATCGCCGTGAAGGGCGGATACGTTGTCGGTGCGACGCTTAGGGCTCGTTTGGGACCGCTGCTAATTGCGCGATGCGCGTCCGTTCAGCTCTCAGAGGCGTCGTGCCCTGTAGAGAAACGCACGTCTCTCTGTGCTCCCTTTCAGACTGATTATTTCGTGTTTTCGGGTGTGGGTAGGATGTTTGGGACCGTTCGTGTAGTGCACGTTCGGTTACAAGAGGTAGAGATCTTATTCTGTTAGATGGTGAAATCCTGCGCCGTCCTGTACGGCGACTTGCGGGATTTTCCCCATCCAAGTATTTCCCACCAGCGGGGCATCGCCTTAGACTGCGCGACGTCTACGTTCTCGAGCGGCCTTCCGACATGTGTGTTAGTGTAACGCATGAAAGTGTAAGTACGTGTAAGGGTTGATGATAAGACAAGAGAAAGGAAAAATCACGCTCGGGTCGTGAGCGGTTTGTTATAGTACTGTTCTGACATTCCACTGCTACTGATCGGAGAAAAAATGGGAAACTAATTAGAGCAGATGGGGCTAAAATTCTTCTCCATACGGCAGCAAAATTTGTTATACCTATGTAGCTAGTGTCGATATTCTCTTTTAGGATCGATGAGTGTGTATCTCAATAGTTTTTACTTCAACTGCAATAGTGCCATTTTTATGGTGTAACAGTCCCTTATTTCTTCATTGAACACTAAATGCCTTTTAACGAAGATGAATGTTATGTATACAATATATTGTGTTTACTAGGGTATTGAGCCACTATATCTTAGAATAGATACCTCGGGTATCTCCAATTGGTTGCCAGGAATGCAAATATCACTAGGAATGAATTATAGAACACATTTGCATTTGACGAATGTTCAAATTCGTTTGAATTAAAAAATACATAGAGCCCTACATATAATTATATTGTGTGCTCTTAAACTTAAAATACATTAAGCTTTGACTAATATTCTTTTGTGAAGTGCGGAGATCTTCATAATGTGAACTAGACTTGTAGAGAAAATGTTTTGAAGTAGAGTAACATTAGTGACCACTGAATCAATAGAGGTTTCTTCAAGCACAAAATTTAAAAAATTCAAATTGGAGGCATCCCACTTGGTTCAAACTCAACAAACAAAAAGTTAAGCGAATGGCTTCTTGTAGCTACGGTTCGAAAGAGGATTATTTATTTTCCTTTATTTTATACTTAATGAGTTAGCTGAAAACATATAATTAATAATAGCATTTCAAAAATTTACCGGATCTTTTTGGCCAAGGACATTCGGGCGAGGTTTATAAATCAAATAGTGACAGGTTTCGTTAGATCGTACTCGCGGTTAGGTCGCATTCGACCAACCTTACTCAAAGTCACAATTGTTTCTATACACGCTGTTCCTTGCAATGTATAGGTGGATTGCGAAATGCTTTTCTGTTCTTCCGAACAAATAGTTTGGATGTTTATATTCAATTTGGTGGAAAGTGGAGAAGGAAACACCACTGGCACATCCGTTGGCAATCACAAACAGCGAACGTTTGCGATTCATTTTCGTGATGCCGAGCAGGATCGATTCATAACCAAATTACGATTATAGCTGGAAGCTATCGACAAACTTTTTTGACCCTGCAATAGTGTTCCGAAAGTCATTTTCGTACATCTCTGCAGTTGAAACATTTAGGGTCTATAGGGGGAAATGAAGAAACAGATTTTTATTAAAGGAATTGTGTGATCTAAAAATTGGTAAATATGTTTGTTTCTTGGTGACAAACATACACCACACAGAGCTGGTTCAAAATATTGAGAGATTTTATATTCTCATTTTGAAACATCTTTTCTAAACAGATTCTTTATAAATCTTTCACATGAAAAGATAAGAATTCACCAAAAATAATATATTTTGTCTATTCTTTATTGATGTAAGAATAAATATATTTCTGTACTATAATGTTTTTGACAGTCACATTGTTTGGAAATAAACAAAACCCTATTAGGGCCGCATTTGACCCACCTCACCAAATGCGTTCTAAAATACCACTATAACGAACGTCAGAGGAATAAAATAAGTGAAGTTGTGAGCAGTACCTCATGAACATTTCTCTCTTGTTCCAGGTGTCTTGGATTCGCCGCAAGGACTACCACCTCCTCACAGTCGGTCTGGGGACGTACACGGGGGATGACCGGTTTACTGTCGTGCACACGAGGCATTTGCAGGTGAGATCAACGCCTTCGGAGACTGTGTTAATTTTCGTTTCATTTTGTTGTTTTCTGAGTAATGCAATGGCGATGGTTAGTGTATGGTTGTAACGGTTAGTGTATAGAACAATTATGCCCAAGTTTGCGGGTTCACACCTGATCGACGCCGTGGATTTTTAACGGCGAAAAAATCCTCCGTACGCCTTCCTTCGGAGGGGAAGTGAAGCCGGATGTGCCATGTTAGTAGATTTATTGCATGTAAAAGATGCTCAAGCCTGAACGAAGCCTCTGAGCTAAATTCAAATCGCCTGTTTCGTCTCAAAAGAAATACCTTCTTTCTCCCCACTAGTTGGTGAAAGGAGCGTAGCGTAATTTTGCGTGGTCAGACGGAACAGCGGGTCTGATGGCCCCAGTTTCACCGCGTAAAATAAGGCATTAATTCAATTCAATAAATCAGTCTTTTTATTATTACACAATACCCGGTTTATTTTATTTACTGCATAAAAACTTCAATTTTGCAGACTTTTGACGTATATAACACAGATTAGTATCATATCAATACATATTTCTTCGAACCCTGTTGCAGAAGGTAACATTGATTACTGTTTTCTCCAAAATAGCAGAAACTGTGAGCAATAAATTAATGAGAAAACATGCATCGGCATGCATGTGTGTGATGATATTGTTAAGATTTTTTATAATAAGATTTTTCAGACGGCTACGCATTCCTTCTCGGAACAGAAAAGAAACATTTTAAAAAGTACATTTAAGGTTACGAAAACTACTTTTCTGAACTTTTTACGTATATTTACAAACTGTAACCTCTGCGGGTTCGAAAATAATTATGGCTACAAAATAAATGATATACTAAAAATGTTTCAGTTTTTAAATTAGTAAGAAAAAAACGATAGCATATTAATCAAGTGAATGTAGAAAAAGTCAAATAGATGATGTTTTTTAATAAAATTAAATTAAAATTGTATCAAAACCGTAGAGACCAAGCATATGCTACTTTTAAAAAAGTAAAATCGTTTAATAATAGCACAATCTTTTTTTAAAAAATCATCCAAAACTGAATGTTCTTACATAATCTTAAAATTCTCACAGAATAATATACCAAGTGAAGTAAATTCTTCAATTATTAAAGACTAATCCGGATAGTTCTTCTTCTGGTTATTTACAAACTGCTGGCTTTTCAAACACAGTAATCAAAATCGAAGTAATGATTTTAGCACAGTTAGATTTAGAAGAAAATCTTACAGAGCTCTGATAATTAAAAAAAAAATTAGACAAAACATCCCACGCATTTAATTCACCGGCTTTATCACGCGCGCGGCCAACAAAAGAAGACGCACGTGCGAAAAAAATCGCTTTTACCCGCACAATACCCGTGAACACGAAAAAAGGAGAGAGCGAAGCGGGTTTAGCCCAAATGGGGCGTAATCAGGGGCACAAGCGTGGAGGCTTGACGGGCGCAGGTAACGCGCGGGGTTATTGATGGATCGTGCGCTCTCGCCGCTTCGCATAATGCCATTCATATCTGCAAAACAATTAGCGGCGGCACCGCGCAGCGCCGCGCGGCACCGCCCCACGCCACGCGTAGCCCGTGTCACTCACCCCGTGCATCTCCTCCCGCCCCTCGTCCCGCCACGGCCCAGACCCCCTCCGCAGGGCCATCCCCCCGCCCCGGTTCTCCTCTCACCCACTCTGCCATACGCCCCCCTTCCCCCTTTCCCCCTGCTTCTCTCTTGACGTGCCCATCCCCGTGCTCTACACCCAGCTCCTCTTCCCTCCCCTCTTGTCAACCCAACTCCCGTCCCGGTTCACTCGCCCCTCCCCCTTCACGCGCGCCGTCCACGCGGACATATATAGCGGCAGCGCGTGTGCCCGGCCAGGTCTCTAATGGATCCAATACAAACGCGGCGCCATGAATTAGAAGGCAGTGGTGGTGGTGGTGGTGGTGGTGGAGATGGGCAGAGCGGTGGATGCGGCGGTGGCTGAGGCGGGCTATCTCCACGTGCCATCTAGCCAATCTCGTCGGTTTCCCCCTTTGCCGAGGGGGGCGCGCGATAGGGTCCCTGTGGGACACCTCAACTCCCGGTGGGAGCCATCTTTGTCTCTGCTCCCTACCAGAGCTTCTGTCTCTTTGATGTACCCTCAAACTCCGCCCTTCTCTTCGTCTCTGTCCTCTAATCGTTCCATTTCTCACTTTTTATATTCATCTTAAAAACCCAATTCGTTCGCTTCTCAACAATCTACGCGGAAATCTAGAATTTCTCATCTAACATTTCAGATGAGAATATTTGTCTATTAGGCGGGATGTTTGAGGATTTGAGGTAGCGTGGGGTAACACTTGCCTTGTCCACCACAAAAAAAGTAAAATAAAGATGGAGGATGCAACTTTATACCATATTTCTTTTTGTGACCGAAACGCCCTCAATTAATATAAAATTAAGAATAGCTACTAATATATAGTTTGTGTTTATTATGTCTTTTCTTTAGTATTCAAAATAAACTGTTTTCATGGTCGACCAGGTTGCCATATTCTCTACCCAAACTATTGATACACAAAAACAAAAATAATGAATAAAAATGATTAGGAAACGGTATTTCCTGAAGCGTAAATCTAACCATAAAAACAATTGACCTCGCTAAAGAAATTAATTAATTGTAATAATTGGAAACAATATTATATTAAAAAATATTCTAATAACTCAACAAACTCATTGTGTGTTTTGCTATTACAGTAGAAACGTATTACACTAGTTGAGTATAATTACGACACATGTCAAAGGCGTTTGTTATTATCGTTCATAAATAATAATACTACCACGCATAATAAAAGCTATAATTTAATGCATATATTTGTATTCATTTAGTCATAATTATCGTCTGTTATGTGGAAGAACGGATCTGGTTGGGATTAGTTGATAGTTTTACAGTTAGGCACTAGTTGATAGTTTTACATTACTTGAGTTTTGAAAATGTTTCATTGTATCAAAGGAAATTTAATTAAATATGATACCATAGTGATATTGTTTATATTCGTGAAAGTTTGACAGACAAAATTTTGGAGACGTTTAAAGTCAAGATGTGTCAATCAACCACAACTGTGTTGTTGGTTCATACAGACCTACGTGGTAGGTTGACATACCACTTCCGTGAGGGTGTCGATAAATAATCACTGTCAAAATACATTATTTGGCAGAGTTTTATTTACACAAATATATAGAAAAAATATTATCCCCGTAAGTTTTGTAGCTTCAGATTGATAACTACTGTAGCATTAAAAGTTTCAAAATTAAGTATTTAAAAAATTTAATTCAATTTAATCAATCTATTCTCTTTTTATTGAAAATGCTTATTTCCTCTTCTGAAACATTGAGTTTGCGTCGCCACTGAATTACTCCAGTTTTACAAGGAAGAAAACTTCCACATGTGATAGACAAGTGAGGAAAATTCCAGGCCACAGTGTCAGTAGAAGCCACTTCAAGCATAAAACTTTAATACTAAGGGTTAAAGCTTTCTATAAGCTCCAAACTTACAGATTGCGAGTCGTATGCCTTAAAGTGAAGAGTATTTGCACAAAGAATATTTATTTCTCTTTTTTATTTGAAATCATTTCATTAATGTTTGTATTGCACTAATATTAAATTAAGTATTCACTTTTGGACTTTTTGGTGTCAAATACGTTGATAAGATCCATGAAAACAATCGTTTGGCCATTACAAAGTCGAATAAATGACCACCACAAAAATTTTGTAATTTTTAAATGTCTACTTCTGGAATAAAATCGATAATAAACGATTTGAAAAAAGATTGATAGAGCTAAATATTGCCATTATAGGTAAAGGATACATTCAGAAAGAGGTATGTTAATTGCTATTTGCGTTTAACTTTACGAATTTATAATTGTAACACCATAATTTTGAGAATCTATATGAAAATCTTCTGAACTGAGGCCACTAGTGAAGCGGTTACTCTAGTTTAATGAAAATATGAGCAAAGTGGTTTTACTCTGTGGAGATGTTCGGTAGACAGAGGATAGAACTGCTTGATACTTGTCGATAAATTCCAAATGAAAAGTGCTAGCCAGCTCCGAACGGGATTCTTGATTTAAAATGGCCATAGAAATAACTAAGAAACTCAAAACTAAACTCTGACACATGAAAAATCAAGACGTAGCTAGCGCTTATGGAAACTTCTTGGCCGATATAGAAACTTAGTGCCAAGATGTCTCTTATGCCAACCAGCCCTGATCTCCCCCACAGATGTGATAAAAATCGACCAAATAGAAAAAAAATTAATTGTCCGTTGAATTTGGTTGATTTGTGTCTGTTAACGTTAATAAAATGATAATTTTGTTTGTGTATGTTTAATCACTATTTAACACAAATGAAAGCTTCAGTGCATACAATAGAACCAAAACAGTTCTTTCATGTATTGCATTTGTAGTAAAATGAGAATATATATTTGATTTCAGAATTGGGGTCTGCAAATAAAGTTTGTGCAACCTCGTGATGCTGGTATGTACGAGTGTCAAGTCTCGATGCACCCACCAACAAGTATCTTCATTGAGCTTAAAGTTACAGGTGAGTAAAGGTTACCGGGAAATATTAAAAGTAAATCAACTAGTGTAAATACAAATTAGTTTATGTTGAGGTAATATTTGTCAATTTAAACTTACATCAGTCTATACTGGAGTAGAAACTAATTTCTTAAATAAATCAAATTTAGCTACACATATCAGAATAAGTAAACCTTAAAAATATCACTGAGACAGTATACATAGTGTCGCTTTATGAATATATCTTTTTATTATGTTTAATTTCTTGTCTTTGACAACCCAACTTCTAGACATACCACATATGTTACATACATACATACATAAAAAATATCACCGATAAAGAGCTCGATTGACAATTTCTCAACACGATTAAACGCCAAACAATAGAAAAATAACGGACGATTTAAAAAATTACATCTGAAAAATATCTTGTTTCTAAAAAAGTTAATTTAAAATGTGTTTAAAGAGATAAAATGTATACATTATTGCCATTTAAAATAAATATTTGGTGTTTTGCAAAATTGGCACACAAAATATCTTTCACGCTTAACGAGCTAAGAAATTAGTAAGAAAAAAAGAAATAATATAATAAGAAGTATCAAAGGATGAAGGGAAATATTTAGAAAGTTTATCTCTCACATTTTACTAAATACAGAAGCCTTTTTATCACAAATTCTCTACATTTTCTATCCTTCTACGCCTTTCTTACCATCAGACTATTACATCCACCAAAACGTTTTGTTGCTACAAGTATTTTGGATCCAAATTACATTAACTCCTCGTGTTACATTTTGATATGATATTTTTAGCAAAATATGCATCCTAAGCAAATACACGATGTAATAATTCTAATTTATTTTCTATATGTATATTCCATATGATTCAACCAGCCATCTCACAACCAAATTGTATTTATGCGATCTTTTTAATTACATAAACTCTTAACATCACAAGCATTTTTTGTACTGAAAAAAAAACATTGTAAAACTTATTATATTTTATATACTATACTCGTATTATGATAAATCAAATTAAATGGTCAAAACTTAATTTGAATCATAAAATACAATCCAACATATATCTATAATCGATATCTATTTAGATTAAACTGAAAAATGTGAGAACCGTTTCCCAATCGCATAGGAAAAAACACTGGAAATAAAATAATGGCTTGAAGCAACAAATGCTCCTCATACTCCTATCTTAATTGTAAATTCTAATAAAATATTATTATTATTATTATTATTATTATTATTATTATTATTATTATTATTATAACAACAACAACAACAACAACAACAACAACAACAATAATAATAATAATAATAATAATAATAATAATAATAATAATAATAATAATTCTGTGTCTGCCATACCGTAGATATTCCACTGCGTGCATAACGAGATACGTATTTCAAACATTCAAAAATTAAAATTATAGTACTGAGGAGACACCAAACATATCACTTGATCCCTTCCTCCGCAGTAAAGCTATATACATCGTGAAATTTATCGCCTAAGCACTGTTATGACATGACTCCTTTCTTTATAGTACAATATGCCTTGACTTCAAGAAAAATTTTACAAAACAAAAAAGAAAAATATTTAATATTTTGATTTGTTCCCTCTCTCATCATGCTGATTCAATTAATATCAAAAATATTCATTAAAAATATTTTTGCTATAATAATACTTGTGAAGCTTTGTAAATATCTCTCCTTGCAGCTCAATTTTACTTACCATCTAGTTAAACATTACCACAAGAAAGAGGAAAAATAGAACAGGGAGTCAAAGAGATGTGCACAAGGCCATACGCACCGGTCGCACCCCAGCTAATAGTGGGTCCGAAAGGGAGTAGTCAACATTTTTCATGCGATTTCTTCAGCTCTTCGCAGACTGAAAGACTGGTGTCGCAGCGATCTCCGAGTGGCACTTCTTCATAACACACCCACATGCATATTGAGTCTGCGACCGCACGTTTTTCTTAGCATAGACATATTTGGATGCGTTGCTTTCATTGTCGAAACTCAAACTCATCCTACTACACTATTGTTTTTGTATTTGGTGTATACAGTAGTTGAGATAAGAAAACCGATTCTTCGTATACAGTCTGTCAAAAGATGTGTATTCGAAGCGTTGTGGAAAATAGTTGTATGTATATATGACGGATTGCGATAAATTTCTGAATATTCGCAATTTTGACAGATTCGGGAAAAATATACCAATAACTAACCAACACTTACACAGGTGTAACTATGAGACCATTACAAAACATGGATCCTTTGAAATTGGCTGCGGAGAAATGATTGCTATAAATAATGTTGCAACCATTTTGGCCATCTTCGGTAAGAATGAGAGCCTAAGTGCCAGATTTTCAGTAGCGACTCACATTATCAATTAATTGCAAACTTTGAACGTTTAATTGCTGTGAAAGTATTAGAACGATTTCAGTCAAAATGATTGATTTTGCCAGCTAAGAGGAATCATACAGTTATTTGCAGCTGGAAATAACGGCAGCATTGGTACTATGGTGAACTCTAGTATCAATGATCAGTTTCTGATAACGATGACACATACGACCATTTGACACAATTATGAAAAGAATTTTACAAAACCAATTACAAATAAATTGTTACTTTTAGTTCAGTTTGTATTATTGAAAGTATCAGTCAGTGGTAAAGATTACTTTGGATATTACCTGATTTTAGCAATAATAATATATTAAACTTTGTGCTCAAGAATTAATGCTACACACATGCACATGGTTCACATTCATTTCCCCCAAGGAGACAAAACAAGCAAATAAAAGAGGTCTGTGCCTATGTACATCTTTCCGTTTGGTGGTCCTCAGCCTCAGTCATATTCATTTGCCCCCATGCGCTCCAATCAAGCGAATCAAGACGACGCCAGCCATCTTCCTTCCGTTCGCTCCTCCTTCACTTGATTCATAACCATTTGCTCCAAGGAGGGCAAATCATGCTAACAGAAGACTGCCTCCGACAGCGAGCTTCCTTGAGATCGCTCCTTTGCTTGATTCGTATTCCTCCCCCCCCCCCAGGCTGGCGAATCAAGCAAACAGAAGACGCCTCCACCAGCGTTCTTCCTTCCATTCGCTCCTCCTCCGCTTCATTCTTATTTATATGCCCCCATGTGGGCGAATCAAGCGAATAGAAGATGCCTTCTCCAGCGTCTATCCTTCCAGTCGCTCCTTCGATTGATTCATATTCATTTACCCCATGCGGGCGAATCAAGCGAACAGAAGGCGACTCCGCCAACCTCCTTCCTTCCGTTCTCTTCTCGTCCGCTTGATTCGTATTTATTTTCCCCCATGTGGACGAATCAAGCGAATAGTAGACGTTTTCACCAGCGTCCTTCCTTCCGTTCTCCCCTCCACCGCTTGATTCATTATCATTTGCCACTAGGCGGGCGAATCAAGCGAACAGAAGTCGCGTCTACCAGCATCCTTCCTTCCTCCGCTTGATTCATATTCATTTTCCCCCATGCGGACGAATCAAGCCAATAGTAGACATTTTAACCAGCGTCCTTCCTTTCGTTCTTCCCTCCACCGCTTGATTCATAATCATTTGCCACTGGGCTGGCGAATCAAGCGAACAGAAGTCGCCTCTACCAGCATCCTTCCTTCCTCCGCTTGATTCATATTCGTCCGCCGGCAGCGCGGTGCGGGGAGCCGCGTGGTGCGGGCGAAACCATTCTTCAACCGCGCATAATCTGTTTTATTCTATACCGCGGAATCCGGTTAAATCCATTTGTTAGAATGGAAATGCGAGACCTGCTGACGAGAACAAATGGGCCGCGCTGGGCTTTGACAAACTGAACGTCACGCGGGCATGCATCAAGGTGCTGGGCTGCGCCGCGCCGACGGCCCGTGCTTCGCCAACAGCACTCGCGCTGCCCTGGCAGAGAGCGGCGGTTAACGGAACCCATCCCTGTGATCAGGTGTGTCCAGAAGGGGAAAGATGTGTAACTTTTCTCAGACTTATTTGGCTGCCCGATAGGTTTTTTATTTTAAAAAAAAACTAAAAATGTTTTTCTACTCCCATTGCGAAATTCTGTCGTTTGATGTCTGCAACCCGTTGCATAATACTCATTATAATACAGACTTTATTACGTTACAGGTACTTATACTTATACTTTATTACGTTACGTTCACAGAAATGTTAACAAAACAAGTATTTACACTTCACTTATCATTGACAACCTTTCTAGTAAATGTTTCGTTGGATTTTGAACATAAAAATTGCATTTAGTATAACATAATACTTATTAGTTTTAATTTATTACATTATTAATATTTTTACGTGGAATATAATTTAAAATGAATTGGGTCTTAATTTCACTTCGATTCTATTTGAGTAGCACTGTGTCAAACAAAAGCCATCTGCGGCAGTGTGAGTAGGGAACAGTTCGTTCAAATTAACTGCTGCACGTTTTTACCTTCAATCGAAAAACTAATTCTGTGAAGATGCGCGGAACATTTGCTTGAAATAAGAGGCGCAATTTCCTCTGGGGGCCCCTCCTCGTTAACAATCAACGTGATTAATTACGAACAAATAGGAGTGAAAAGGTTAAAGGTTTTTAATGTAAAATTTCTATCTTGGTGATAATTAACCTGTTAAGTTGTTGTTTATAGTGACATTGTTATAATTATTTTTAGCTATTAGTAAAAGCGATTATTTTAAGGTACGCAAAAAGGGCTAAAAACTTTAATTTTTATCAGAAGTGCCAAACGTCAGATAGTGCTCCAACATTGTGATAAAACTGTGAGTGGAATAAAGAAAAAAATATTTTCATCTGACCGCATCACCTCCTAATGATCCTCTTTTTTCTTAAAAACCGCACATTTTTTATTAAATTGTAACCTTAGATCGCTTAAAGGTCGCTGAAGAGAATGAGTCAGATTTCATGTTTCCTAAAATACCTGACTTTGTGAAAATTAAAAGACGAACATTATCGGTGTCTACAACTGCAAAGGTCAATAAATATTTGTTTCTTAATGAAATGTTT